GGCGGGCACGCCGGGCCTCACACCGCACAGGGACACGCACGGGTACCGCAGAGTCGCGGCTCCCATGGCTTTCGGGACACACACAGAAGCCAAGAGACATTACGGCAGGCACTCACTTGGATTTGTTCTCCTCATAGTGAGCACTGGTCTTAATGTATCTGGCCAGTTCTATCTGCATATCGCCGAATAAAGGAACCACCTGCAGCTGCTGGAAAAGAAAACAAAAGATGGTTGAAACACGGCAGAGAGGGAGCCCGCGGCCCCAGCACAACACGGGGACTATGGAACAGCAACCGGCGTCTCTGAAGCTACAGAAAGTGTCAGGCTGTTTAAAGCAAGGTTTAAAGCTGGACACACAGTCATTTCACACTGAGGAAGTGATGGAAAAAGATCTTTGTGTGAGGAAAATCACCCTCTGCGAGTGCTCTGGAGCCCTGGATTCGCCCGCACCGGCTGGTTATTGCCAGAACGGTTCAGTGCTGTAACCGGCCAGAGGAAAGGCTCTTTTTACAGCAGAAAGAGAGAAGTGCACTCCTGAGCAGGGCTTATTGCCTCCCATACAATCCTCCAAGAGAACGGAGGAACCAAAAGCCAGCACGTTGGTACTTTGGCAGCATGTTGCTGCGGCTGGCCTCGGGGGGGGGTTGCTGCCAGGACTGCCAGGGATGCGGCATCTTTCCCCAGAGACTCAGACTGCACCCTGGCACTGCGGCTGCTAGTGATGTGTCTTAAAACTTCTCCATGAAGGGAAAGACACAGGCAACGGCTGCCTGGAAGATATCGTGGCTTTGCTCGCCCTTTACGTCTCAGGAGGATTTGGATGGGAAATAAATTCAAAGTGCACTGAATGTACCTCAAGCTCAGCCGGGTCCCTGCTTCACTAAGCTTTCAGCTGCAAACAAAATTCAACCAGGAGCTACCAACAGCTCTTCAATAAAATACAAGGCTTTGACTTCACCCAGCTACAAAAGCCTTGCCCCAAAATTCAGGGAAGATGGTGGCAAATCCCCTGTCCCAGTATCACATGCTTCTCTTCTCAGGCTGACTTGTGCCGAGGATGTGCAACGCTGTCGTCAGGGATTCCCAGCGGCACTTTCATAAAAGGTTTAAATGAAGGGGTAGTTCATTTTCACTACTCAAATTCCTGGTCAATCCACTAGAAATTCAATCAGAAGGCAATAAGCAGATGTAGTAAGAGGAGTAGTTGGCCTTTTCTTATTGAGATCTGATAGTCTGGAGTGGTACTTAACTGATTAGGTGAGACCACAGCAGATGTTGGAGAAGTGCAAACAGAAAAAAAAATGGAAAGGAGAAAGTTATTCCATGCAACGGAAAGTATTTTACCTGCTTCTCTGATGGCCCACAGCACTTTGCAATGAACAGCAAATCTGTTTGAATGCACCCAGATGACCAAACTCTACAGATAACACTGAGGACTTGATTTAAACTGAGATTCAGTTGAACGAGCAAAGCTGAACCCAGGAAAACTCAGAAGACTCTGAGGCATGGCATGATAAATCACCTTTGCAGAGCTGCAGTCCTCAGCAGTCTCCCCAGTGACTGGAGGGTATTCAACCACCTCATTATCACCCCGTCCACGAGGTTACAGAGTCTGTCTGTAGTTCCCTTCATGGGAGTTTGAGCTGTGCTCTCACAGCTGTCTCCAGGAGATCAGGCAAATTTGGGTACATAGGTCCCCACTCACTCAGGGTGAGGATATAGCAGCTGCAACACCAACCTTTCATGAAACCAGCTACCTGGGCTTGTCCGTCCCCTCCCCTTGCGCACACCCAGCGCATCGCCTATAAACTGCAAATCAGGGCAATAAGCAGGAAGGCATCCTGTGCCCTGTCACCACCAACAGCCTCATCTTCCAGGGTCCTCAGCAGCTCTCTGGGTGAAGTGGCAGAGGGAAGCCACTCTGCTGAAAGAAAGATGGAGAAGAAGCACTCTGGGGACCCCCAGAAATCATTTTCTCATTTCACTGATGTGGAGCAAATGTTGGTAAGAGAAACTAATCTTTCCATCTCAGGAGAAAGAACCATATGTGGAGGACTCTGGAAGGACTGCTCGAGCTCAGTAGGTCTAAAAGAAAACTAACTGCTCCATTTGGGAAGTTATTCTGCTATCCTCCGGCTATACTGTTATTCTTTGCTGCCAGTACATTTCTCCCTTGCCAGATCTCACCATGCTTCCTAGAGCACCAGATTTTGGGGGGAAGTAACAGGGTTATCCCAAACCTTCCTTTCCCTGAGTGGCCCCAGGGCAATGCAGCTTGGCCTCCGGCTGTGGACCAGCCCATGGCTATACAAAGCTGCACATGTGCACGGGCAAAGGGAGGCTGCACAGCTGCTTCCCACACAATGACTGGGAGCATCCAGTTCTCATGCGCCTTTCCCCAAAACCCAGATCTCAGAGAACACAAAAATGGTTCATCAAACCACCAGGTGAGCTCTTTGAGGAACTTGTTAAGCACCATTAAGTCCCAGCTGACACAAACTCCCCAAGAAGCTTTTTCTGACCTACAGGGAGCACAGTTCATACATGAAATAAGACTGCCAGATCACAGGTTGGCTGGCCAGCTGCAGCTGCATCCCCTGTCCCTCAGCTCAGCGGCTTGCTGAGGGAAAGGGAAGCGCAACCATCACTCGCACAGACCTCCTCACCGGCCTGAAATGACAGTGCTCCTCAGGAGACTGCAAACCTGCTTCAGAAACATGCAAAGAGATAGAAGCGATGTCAATCTGACACACCCTTCTCTTGTCCACAAAACAGACGTGTCGTCCCCATCCTTCACCCCTCAGCAGAAGCTGGCAGAGCCGCAGTGGCAGGCCGGCCTCGGCTCCCACCAGCTCCCTGGCTCCAGCACGAGCAGCACGGGAGCAGAGCCAGCCTTGGGCACCGCTCACAGATCCACAGCCTTGTTGGTACCCAGGGTTGGCATCACTCATCTCACCCATACTGCAGCTCTGTGCCTATACATGTTCACAGCAATCCCATTCCTCATCCTTCAGCCTAGATAATTTCTTGGCCCTTTGGAGCTGTAAATGTTTCCTGCGGTTTGTTTTTTGCTGGCAGCATGGGCAATGGTACGGGTCATTGGTCTGCAATAAACTCCAGCCTCACCCAGACAGGTCACTGACCTTGAAGAATTTGTCTATTTTGCTAAGGTTGATTCTCTTCTTGGCGTCCAACTTGTAAATGTTGCTGACATTCCCATCCATGAGATACAGGCCAAACCCCATCACCTGCAGAAGACAGAAAAGCTCAGTTTCATTAGTGTGAAGTCAGCAGCACAAGTCAAAAGCAGTTCTCCGTCACTTAGCAAGAGGAAAGGCCATTTCAGGTTCCTGTACCACCTGACACTCATGAGAGGACTGTATACAACGTGCACACATCTGCAAGGAGGTACATGGTAGGCAGAGGACACGTAATTGATTGCTCTGTTTTCTGTGCAAAAGCACATGACGATCACTCTGGTAATTTGTTCCTCCTCTCTCCCACATAACAACAACCCAAAAGTTTTCTCCACCCAAAGGCAAACATTTCATCCCAGAGAAGAATTAAAAACATTAAAAATATTCTCTTGGATTGATTTTTCGCCTCTAATTCAGTACAAGTCATTACAGATATTCAAACTACCCACATTATTCTTCAAAGAACTGTAGTTGACTCATACTGTGGTAATGAAGCTCTGATGGTAATAGTGACTGCAATCACTGTAATAACTGACTTACAGTAAGGACAAATATACAAAACAAGCAGATACTTTGGCATGTTCATCTTGATTTTGGCATGTCCTATGCAGTTACCCAGCTCAAGCCCATGATATCGCACATCCATGCACAAAAAAAAAAAAACCCTTCTAGCTCTGGAAAGCACAAGGCACCCACTGGTGCTCTTGTCCACCAGCTGTGGACCACTGCCATGCACGTGCTTAGTCCCAGGCAGACAGAGCTACTGGTAACCGTGGGAAGGATTGGGGGAAAAGACAGAGATGGAGATGGAGAAGAGCAGAGGCAAGGGAGGGAGGAAGGAAGATTTTCATATGGGAATATGGGAGAAGGTCAGAAAGGACAGTAGAGAAATGATGCGAAAAGGCCCAAGTTACAGTGGGAACTGCCGCAGCTCATGGCACTGCCTGACAGAGGTGACACTTCAGAGCACCAGGGTGGGACATCTCTGACCACGTCCAGTCTATTCAGCTACAAAGAAGAGGTGAAAAAGGAGAAAATGGGAGGACTGAGGTGTCACAGAAGAAGACACAAAGTAACAGAGATCAG